ACATATGAGTGGCAATGTACTTTTTAAATCATGTTATATGTGTTCCAAGTATATTGTTGGGAAAGTCCATTAAAAGGGTAATTCTGCATATTATCCGAAAACGAAAGTGTCAACAACTAGATAAGAGCCGCGCCATGACAAAACCAACATAATGGGTTTGCGACCAGCATGGATCCAGACCAGCCTGCGCATCCACACACATGCTGTGCGCTATCAGATTCTCTACTTGTTATAGGGTTTGTAAGCGAACAGCATGGATCCTGATCAGACTGCGCGGATGCCCAGGCTGGTCTGGACCCATGCTGGTCGCAAACGCATTACGTTGGTTTTGTCGTGACGCGACTCATATAGTTTAATTCTAACATCGTGATAGCTCAGTCGGTAAATCAACGTCACTGTTACTTTAAATGATTTGAACAAATAGGTTCGAAACCTACGCACAGCTTGTTATTATGATGTTGTTGTTAATGTGTTTCTCCCTTTTTATTTACTGTGTCTTTTGTTTGAATACATTGTCAAATCTATGAATGACATTCCAATAATACATTTCACATCATTCTAGGAATGACATTCTTTATAGTTGTAGATAACTGTTATGCACGACTTTCACGTGCAAATTTAAATGTCGAACTATACATACATACGCATGCATGCATACATACGCATGCATGCATTACATCATTCTAGGAATGACATTCTTTATAGTTGTAGATGTTGTTGTCATGCAATGCTTGCATATATATGTCTATATGTTTATGTTGTTAATATGCTATAAACATTGTATAATGTTTCAGGAAATAAAATTTGAAATTGGAAAAAAATTTTTTTTTATATTCTAATGTATATAATTGAACGAATTAACAAGAGACTATCTAAGGAGTAGGTATGCTATTTTTCACACTTACGGCTGTATACAAATCGTGATTGATATATAATTACTTCAGGCACTATTTATGCAGGTAGATGTTACATTGTGTTAACAGTTTATTTCATTCAAACATTAAAATATGACATTTTCAGCTCAGTTTAGATGTATATAAACTACTAGTTATTGCGTACTGATTACAGTCTGCCAAAACGATTCAATAATATTAAATACTGTAAGGACTACCACACAGACAAGGTCTATCTTAACACAAACGGGCACAAAAAATTCAGGGCCAGATTACAACGCGTGCTGTGTAAAACATACGTGAATGGCTGAAAACTGTCCTTTTAAGGACAACAAAAGGCCCTTTAAGGGCCACACACATGTCTCGAAAGAAATTACCTCAGTTGTCAATATAAATCAATCAGAATATAACCTTACCAATGAATTTCCGTTTTTCTATCAGTGCATCATACATTAAGTAATGAATATATACAGAAACAGAAGAAATGTATATTTCCTTGTATTAATTCAAAATATCGGTAATTACCTGTTTATAATACTTATTGTAATACTTACCAATACTTACTTACTATTTCAGGTATTCACAATTTCATGATTTTGCCCGTGTAATATACACTATTTTTACATATCTACTGTGATATAGAGTCTGAAAAAAAAAGTTTTAAAAATTATCATTCGATTTTGAAATTTTACATTTTCTAGTGTTAAGATATCACAGAAAACAACAAATATGTACTGTTATTATACACAAAAATGTCTAAAAACTATTATATAACTTATTCACAGTTTACGAACGAATGTCCGGATATACAATGCAATAAACTAGGAAAGGCAGTTATCTGGACTCTTCAGTAATGCGTACACAACGGGGGGTGGATGGGGTGCGGTATCCATAGCGATTGCGGTTAATTTCCTCTATCGATAGATTACAATCTTTCACTCCGTTTACGGCTTAAAAAATTAGAAATACAATAATTAAAATTTAGACAATTAAAACAAATCATAATGATAATAGTCTTGTTAGGTGGGATGTCATGTATATTATTTATTAACTTGACAAAATGATATTAGGATTGCAAAGAAATGAACACACTAATCAACATAAGGAACGAGACAATGAATCACAAATCAATAATTATAGATTATAAGAACAGTGCTCGTGCACCTAAATGTATAATTACCTACAGTACATACAAACCGGAAAAATGACACTGCCAGCCCGTGCATTCCATAAAATATTTATAAATACAAACATTAAAATTTTGCTTTTACATACATGTACATAAGTGTTATAGAAATATATAACCTTCTTATGGATATACATAATGTCATGATCGGTACAATTTAGAAAAAACAATGATTTCAATAAGTTACCATTTATTGCAAATACTATCAGGGTTTTTTTCCGAACGTTTTGTTAGCGCGACATGGCTAACGTGAACCGATTAATATTATCCATAAAAACAAATGTTACTTGATAATGATTGTATTCGGCTATATACAATTTATTACAATATCAACTTTTTTTGGATTACAATAACATCTTCCGGACGCTTCCTAATTTTAGGAATATGAGAGTGTGTCATCAACTGCGCACGTCCATGTCTACTTTAATCTTCTGGATATCAAATAATATTTGATAGAGAAGAACTGTCTTCCTGAATAATATCATCTAGAAAAAAAGACTGTTTAAATGGATAGTGATTTCTTTTAATTATATCGATGTTTAAAGTGAAACTGCTTTGGGACGCTAAATTTGTTCGGGACGCTTTGTTAGCGCAACATGGGAAACGTCAGTTTTTGTGCTGTATAATGATATTTTGTGGATGAAAAGTTTATTTCCTTCTTTATGTCACTTACACATAACATAAAAGAACTTAATTACGATTTATCTTTGCTTAGATAAAAAACTACCATGAAGACGTTTGGGACGCTATGTTAGTCAGTTAGCAACTTGAAACAAGCGTGGATAGACGTACGGTTTCGGGCGTTATAAAGATAATATAATTTTATGTATGGAAAACATTTTTCTCGCTATTGTTACTTACATTACTATTTCGTTAACTAAAATTACGAAGTATTTCAAAATAATTTTGGTTTCGATAAACATTAAACCTTCCGGACGCTTTGTCGGTATACGCCTATACGGTGGTTTTTGAGCAAGTGAACTGGAGTCGAAGGTATGTTTGTTTTTTATATAAATAGAAAAAAATGATAAGTAAGATTATTTTTTTCTACTATAAATACCTTAATACATAATAATATACATTATTTATAATAAATATAACCATTCTGACTGTTTAAATTAACAATAATGCTTCGGGACGCTTCATGACATTTCGGGACGCTAAATTCTTCGGGACGCTTTGTTAGCGCAACATGGGAAACGTCAGTTTTCGCGCTGTAAAATAATATTTTGTGGATGAAATGTTTATTTCCTTTTTAATGTCACTTACACATATCATAAAAGAACTTAATTACGATTTATCTTTGCTTAGATAAAAATAAAAACCATGAATACGTTTCGGGACGCTATGTTAGTCAGTTAGCAACTTGAACTATGCGTGGATAGACGTACGATTTCGGGCGCTATAAAGATAATTTTATGTATGGAAAACATTTTTCTTATTATTTTTACTTACATAACTATTTCATTAACTAAAATTACGAAGTATTTCAAAATAATTTTGGTTTCGATAAACATTAAACCTTCCGGACGCTTTGTCGGTATACGGTGGTTTTTGAGCAAGTGAACTGGAGTCGAAGGTATGTTTGTTTTTTATATAAATAGAAAAAAATGATAAGTAAGATTATTTTTTTCTACCATAAATACCTCAATACATAATAATATACATTATTTACAATAAATATAACCATTCTGACTGTTTAAATTAACAATAATGCTTCGGGACGCTTCATGACATTTCGGGACGCTAAATTCTTCGGGACGCTTTGTTAGCGCAACATGGGAAACGTCAGTTTTCGCGCTGTAAAATAATATTTTGTGGATGAAATGTTTATTTCCTTTTTAATGTCACTTACACATATCATAAAAGAACTTAATTACGATTTATCTTTGCTTAGATAAAAATAAAAACCATGAATACGTTTCGGGACGCTATGTTAGTCAGTTAGCAACTTGAACTATGCGTGGATAGATGTACGATTTCGGGCGCTATAAAGATAATTTTATGTATGGAAAACATTTTTCTTATTATTTTTACTTACATAACTATTTCATTAACTAAAATTACGAAGTATTTCAAAATAATTTTGGTTTCGATAAACATTAAACCTTCCGGACGCTTTGTCGGTATACGGTGGTTTTTGAGCAAGTGAACTGGAGTCGAAGGTATATTAGTTTTTTTTATATAAATAGAAAAAATGATAAGTAAGATTATTTTTTTCTACCACAAATACCTCAATACATAATAATATACATTATTTACAATAAATATAACCCTTCTGACTGTTTAAATTAACAATAATGCTTCGGGACGCTTCAGGACGCTTCGGGACGCTAAATTTCTTCGGGACGCTTTTTAGTGAGACCGCTGGCGTGAAGTACGTATAATTTAATGGCAATGCCTTTTTATCTCTTCTCAATTAATTCGCTGTGTGACACAATATTTTTTTTGCAAGACTCAATTTTTTTATTGGCAAAAGCATTTTATAGTGTCCATCGCCATTATTTATTTTAAAAAATGCAAAAATAAAAACATTTTCTTAAAATATTTTTCATGATATGGCGACGAGATGAAAAAAGTCACATATTCATAAATTTTTATTGATATTTATATAAAATTGATTAAAAAAAAATTATGTTGATTATTTGTAATGTTTTGTTTAAAATACATCCCCAAAAAAGCTCCATTTTTGCATAAATTTATTGAAATGAAAGAGGAAGCTGTATTCCCTATAATTGGTCAAGTTATTTTGGTAATAATTAAATTGAGAGATCATCTGTGTTAATTAATTATTGTACCCAAACAAAGTGACAAACATTCATTTTTGGAAAGAAAAATCTTATTGTTATATAAAATATCTACTCTAAAACCGGGAGAGACCGGACTATAAACGTGTGACTCTCGTAAATCCCGGTCAAAATAGACCGGGAGAGACCGGGAATTACCGATAAGAGAGCGGTTTGTAAGTGACTCAAGAAAAATGTCTGGAATAAGAATACATATTGTCATACTCTTATCTTCAATAAATATGATGTTAGGTCAGTTAATTGTTAATGTAAAAAATAAAGGTGGAGATGTAGAACGCGAGAATATTGAATCGAATACAACAGCAGACACAGTAAAACTGGAATATTTGTCCAAAGATGGCACACTTGTGACATACTTCACAGATTTTAAAACTGTAAGTTATGTGTGAATTTTCTTTGATTACGATCGAAATTTTATTAAGAAATTTCATATAGTCAGTGTAGGCAATCAGAATCACCTTATGAAAAGTGTTTTTTGCAATATTTTTGGAGTTGTCCAAAACCATGCCGCAAAAATGCCTATCTAGCTTTAAATAGTCCGCTCCAAATTTGAATATGGATGCACTATCTGGGACACTTATACCAAAAATGAAATTGATAAACTTGAACGTATACAAAGGCAAGCCGCTTGTTTCATTACTAACAACTATACTTCTAGGAATCCAGGCTGCGTAACATCTATGCTTGAACAATTGGGGTTACCGAGCCTCCAAGACACCAGCTTACTTTCATGTATATAGTGGAACCCCATTGTATCGTGCTATTCATTGTATCGATCTATTTACAAATCTTTCGATTTTTTGCAAAATGAACTAGCTACTGGTTGGGGACCACCAAAACCGGACAACCACCAAACTCGGACGGCCCCGAAAATGCTTAATTTAGTATTTTCTTTGTTCAGTGGTTGTCAGTCACTTTTTTTATCAACAATAAGTGCATGTTTATTTTAAAATTAAGTAAATAAATTTATTTCAACCTCCGTAAATGGTGATATTTTAATGTCTATTTCAAGAATGTTGATGTTGAAATTTGGGGGTCAAGAAAGCAATGCCTGGCCTCATATATCAGCTATATTCATTTGCAGAGTGAATAATAGAATATCCAAAACTTCACCATTTGTTGCTGACATATTGTATATCATGTTAAAAATCAAAAATCAAAACACCCAAGCTTTTATCTGAATTAAATCACGTCATGTACATATCTGTCCGGACACATGGTATTGTAGTGTAGACAATTTAGGTAATTTTGATACCCTCCTTGTCGAGCCTCAGATATAAGTGTCAATACAATCAGAAATAAACAAACTAGTTTGTTAGTTAGGAGAAGAACCTAGCTGAACTGTGTCAAATTTTTTGGTCTCTAGGTTAGAAATTATGAAATCTGTACGGAAAAATGTTCCAAAAGTGTCCGGTTGATGGTCTCCGACCAGTAAGGTAGTGGAAGGGCAAGTACTGGCAATTAACATACGGGAATAACTTAAATTACTCCTCAGGGCAATAGACGATCTGTTAGAACTAAATCATATAAAGTATTAAAGACCATATAAGTGATAACATTGCGGAAAAATATGTGTGTAACAATCAAAAGTGCTACAAACCAATAGGAAAAGAGTCAACTCGGCCCTATACCAATTCGGCACGGGTCAACTCGGCACGGGTCAACTTGGCCCACTTTACTAAAATATATATATAACGTATTTACTTTGCTTTGCATGTTGTTAAGGTAAATGAATAATAAGAAATATCTTATTATTATTATATAATTATACATTGTACTTCTGCCGAAATAAAGTATATTTAGAAAAAAAGTTATTTATTTGTCTTGCAGTTTCGATAAAATTAATATACATATAATAAAAATGTGTTTCCTTAGATGCATTTTGTTTGTAAAATAATTTTCAAAAAAATATGAAACAAAAACGTGTTTACTTAATATCATAAGCGTCTAATTAATTGCAGGTGGTTAATAATCAAATTTGAATGAATGAGTCAATCATAATTATCACCTAATTAATCGGTATCCTTAACATACACATTGATTGATAATAATAGCCCGTAACAATAGTCTTTTACCCATTTTTAAAAGTGGGCCGAATTGACCCGTGCCGAGTTGGAATAGGGCCGAGCTGACTCGGGGGCCGAGTATGTTTCAGGGCCGAGCTGACCCGGATTCAAACCAATACATGATTGTATATGTAAAAACAGAAAACTACAAAAACTCTTTCTTTATTAGAACAGTGTTACTAAGTAGACTTGAATAAATTAAGTGACTCTCAAGTATGTTCATCAACAGTTCAACAATTCAAAATCTCCATAAAACTTTGTGATTAAGGTATTACCACCCTAACGGGCACTAAAAGGAACTGAAAAATTTATATCATAGGTCAGATATATACCTTAAAGTACACCTGTATGCATAATTTAAACAAACTTTACCATACGGAAATCGAGTAATGGCCATCTTTATGAACTAAAGCTAGGGTGTATGAGGGCCCCTTTTCAGAAATGAGTAACCTTTAAATAATCTGCAATAACATTCTAATGAAAAATGTATTTCCCATTAATATTTGGTAAGAAACAAAGAGTACTATTCAGCTAACAATCAATATAAACAAAATTATGGTTTCTACTCAAAATTTATAAAATATGTATAAAAATGTTACCCTACCCCACCCATTTTTAACACATGTTTGACCATTTTCCTACTTAGGGAGCCTAATTTAAAAAATCCTTAAAATTTACCCAAATGAGTGCCTGAGTTTCCATAAATTTTTAAAAAAGTATATTGGTTGATCTTGTAAAATATTAAATACTTTTACCGTCTAGTTTGGATTTTATTACACTTTGAAAATATCAGGTACCATATTTATTACTAGATTTAGCATTATTTAGCCAATAAATACCTATATAAATTAAATAATAAAAAAATAAACACTTTTTTCTACCCAAAATGGATGGAGAGATACATAAATAATGTTAAAGTTACATTAAATAAAAATGTAAAAATATTTTGCCGTTGGCCTAAAAATCAAACATTCTACAGTTTCATTAACCTGTTTAAAAGTTTTGTTGTAAATCTCATCAAATATTGATCATAAATTAGGATTTTAAACGGGAAACCCCACGGTAACACTAAAGTTCGTATCCGAATTTTAACATGCAAATGAAGACTATAATGAGCTCGTGTATGCGCTACGTCACAGTTTTATAGTTGCTATCCGGAACACAGGAAATGTGATATTTCTTGTGCAAACACATTTTAACCGTTTAAGCTTCACGGTGCACTAAACCTGGGGTTCAGTAAAAGTAATCATCTCGTATAAAGATTAAGTTTGTATGAAAACATCCGTTACAATGCGGAAATATACCGTTAAATTAGGACTGCCACTTATAGTCATGTTTGTTGATTTAATATTGATGTACGGATGATCCGAAGGCGGAGTTTCTCATGCAAACAGAAATTGTACTTCCCATTTCGCCACAATGAGGTTACCTATTTTTATGCTAATAAAACTCATTTTGGTTGTTTGGACACCAAAATAAGACGTGGAGTCTATATAAAACCCAATTTATTAATGAAATGTTGCTATTTAGTTTTTTATGAAATTTATTAAATGTAACTTTAAAAGAAAAAAAAGAAAGAAAAAAAAAAAAGTTGACCCATCTGAGGTTTGAACCCATGGCCCTCAGTTTCAATGTAGTTGACAGTAGTTCTAGCCTATTTGAATACTTTTCAAAGCGGAGGTATGGCATTAAGATGGTAATACCTTAAGCACAGCGTACACTCCAGTGTCCGCTATAACTTCCGCTTGCGAGCGAGTTATACACGACAAAACACAAATTTAGATTGAAATATAGGTAAAAAAGTTAAGTTAAGATCAATAATTGAAGAATTTTTTATCTTTATGGGTGGGTCTTACATGGAACAGATTTTTCACGGTATGCTTTTTGTGGCAAAACCTATATCTTTTAAAACAAAGCGATTTCTCACTTAGATTTCTCAAAAATTTCTTTTTTTTGTCGACTTCAAGCAACAATTTTGAAGATTTACATCAAATATTTGTGCAAACCCTTTTGATTCTTAAAAAAGGTTAACTATCTAGGTAGCAGAAAATGAGGAAATATTTGAAGAGAACTCTTTCCTTATGAAAATATTGACACTGAAATTGTCACCTGTGAGGTTTTCTCACTGTACGGTTGCTTGCATAATCTGAAAAACAAGTTGTCCAGTTGCTTGGGAGGTCACTGTACGGTTGCTTGGAATATTGTTCGCATTTCTGATATTTGAAAGACGATTATTATTATTATTTTTTTATTTTTATTATTATTATTGTTGTTATTATTATTATTAGTACTATTAAAGATATTTTAAACATCGTGTGAGAAGCCTTTGAAATAGTGATATATTTGGAAAACGTATGTCATATACATATATTCCAAAGAACCTGTACAAAATGTACATGTCAAATCGTAGCAACAAATTTTCCTCACAAGTAATCGGAAAAGAATGAATTTTCCTCTGAATCAATGCAAAACAGTTTTAAGTCATATATATATATATATATATATATATATATAAATATATATAAAATCAATAATAGAGGATATTCAAGTTTTTTCTATAAATATGGAAATAAGTATTTCATGAGTGGCAGTAGCCACAAGTGAAATATGATAATTTTCATACCACAAGATGAAAATAAATCCTATGTTAATAGAAAAAAAATGAATTTTCTGTTTATTATATACTTTTTCTCTTGTTTAACCTTATGAATAGGAAGTATTCCCTTTAAATTTTGTTTATTGCCTGAATTTAGAAGAAAGTAGTCTGGCAAGACACCAGTAAAATTACGGAAAATATGTGTCACTACAGTGGAAAATAATTTTTTCCAGTGAAAATACGGAAAATAAAAATACGCATTTTATTTCATCAATATTTCTCAATATTTCATTTATAAGTATATAATAATGTTGTTGTTCTTGATTTGACGTTAATTATTCCAAGTTTTATTTAATATTCACATTTTCTTACTATGATAGTCTAATTAAAATGCTTAATATACTTTTATTCAGTTTTGCTTCATTTACATTCTTATTAAATATTTTTTTGATAACTTGTTGTTTTCATTTATTTGAACCTTCTGTTGTAATATTGAATTTCAATGTTGAAGAAAGTATCTCATATTTTAATGTTGGCATGTAGATAAATGATGTATTTATGCTGTCAGATTTTATATATAACCAAGTTATCAATTTTGATTAGAAGTGCATGATTTCATTGTTTATATACATGTCAGCCACTGTTACGGTGTGTACCTTGAAAAGACATAAATCAATCGATTAATTAGATCTAATTATTTTTTGACAAAATA